GCGTGTATGATGGCCTTTACCAGCCTGGCTTCCAAAAGTCTTTTATCCTCTTGGCAAGATACTTTATTCTTTTTTGGGGTGGGGGTCCGGTCGTGGGGCCTGAACTCTGGTCCTGGGCACTGTCCCTCAGCTCTTCAGCTCAAGGCTAGCGCTCTACCACTGGAGCCACAGCGCCACTTCCGGCTTTTTTTCTTTTTGCTTATGTGGTGCTGGGGAATCAAACCCAGGGCCTCAGGCATGCAAGGCAAGCGCTCTACCTCTGAGCCACCTTCCCAGCCCCCAAGATACTTTATTCTATCTTTTATGAATTCCCTGGCATTGATTTTTTTCATTACTGGCTCAAAAGAATGATTATTACAGATTTTCTCCTTTTTGCTAACCATACCCTTTGTGCCTGGTCTTGAACACTAGGGAAATGGGCCAGCTTCCGTCTTGGATTTTTCCTAGGTTTCTGTGTTTATTTCTTCCTCTGTGAATCGCTCCATTTGCTGGGTAAGTACAATTGCCACACAGGAGTCTCTTCCATGGTGGGATTGTAAAAACATCTTTAGAAGTAGTTTCCAGTTCTAAGTCATGAAGTTTTAAGCTTCTTCGAAAGTGAAGACATAATCCCGCCTTCTCTTCTCTATTTTTTCTTACTCCTATGACTTTTCCCAAGCCTAAATGCCATCTGGATGTTGATGTCTTCCATATTTATGACTCTCCTGAAATCTAGATTCATGAATCCAACCGCCTACACCACACGTCCTCTTGGAGGTCCAAGAGACATCCCAAGCACAACGTGCTTACAATTTCTGCTCTTCTTCCTACCCACGGTCACATGGCAGTGAAGTCTTCCTGATCTCAGGGATGGAAGGGTCCTCCTTCCCGTCACTCGGGCATCCCTGTCATTGTCATGTGATGGATGATCTAGCGAGAAAGCCTTGGATTTTCTTTTAAAAATACCTGATCATTCGTTACCACTTCTCCCTCACTGGCCTGCTCACAGTCTGTGTCCTTATCTCATTATTTGGATGACTACAGTTTCTCTAATTTGTGCACTTGTCCTCCTTTGGTCTATTCTCCACCAAGTAACTAGAGTGCCTTTTTCATCCATCGGCCTCTTTGGTTACTCTGCTTGAAGTCCTGCTTTGCTTCTCATTACAAGGTGGCCCCCAAGGGGACACTTAGAGAAAACTATCTGAAGGCAGTCCCTGTGCCTTCTCTGGTGATTATGCATGCCAGTAATGGCCATGCTACTAGGTCCCTCTAGATGACCAAGTATTTCTACTGGAGGTCAAGGGACACACAGGCAGAGTAAGTTTCAGAGAGTTTGGGCTAAGGTGAGCCTGATCTGGAAAAGTAGCAATGTGCTTGTTCTGTGGTTAACTTACATTCCTTTCAAGTGGAAGGAATCCAACAACTAAAATCCAACCACTAAATGGAACCCAAGTTGGAATGAAGAACAAGTTCCAGGCCAAAGTGTCTGGATTACAACTCACCTGAAGACTTCAGAATTAGTTTTCCTTGCACTGAGGGAGGAAGCCTGAAGAAAGGACCCTACGTTGGAAATTTGCCAAGAACACCCGTGTGTGAATTCTTGCTCTCCAGTGGGGAATAAAGTGGGCTGTGGTTTGGGAAGTGATCCTTCCCTCATCCTCCTCTCCATGAGAACAATTTTTTTATGGGTCCTGGGACTTGAACTCAGCGTCTGGGTGCTGTCCTTGAGCTCTGTTGCTCAAGGCTTTACCACTTTGAGCCACACAGTTCCACTTCCTCCATGGGAAGATTTTTGACACTGAATTTGAACATCTTGGCCACGTGAGTGGTGTTGGCTAGTGAACAGCAGTGAGTGTGTGTATATATTTCAAGATGAAGCTTTCTGTAACATCCTAAGCATCTGACTTCTGCCCTGAGTTCTTGGACTGATGGCAGAAATACTTGTCTTCACTATGCTCCTGATCCTGGAACTCAGCCGACCTTTAGACCTCCATTTAGAAGCAGAGACACCCCATCCAACCCTCATGGGCCATTGTGGGAGGGCAACCCCAACTGTTGAGTTTCTCATGCAGAAGTGGCTGACATGTAGTCATCGACTAGATGTGAATCCTTTGTCTTCTCATGTGGAAATTGGGGCTAGAAGTTGTACCTACCTCAAAGGGCTGAGCTCACTCACTGTAGGTGAGTTGCTGTGCATATTGCACAAGCTCTAGATGATTGAAAGTGCTTCGATGCTTAGAATATTGCAGAGTAGGCACTGCATCTATGTGAGCAAGACAAGCTCTGCTGGGACGTGATTTTTTTTTTTTGGTAGCAACAATAGAATGAGCTGGCTGGAGAGTGGGGAGGGGGATGAGGGACCATGTCTTGGGGATATTGTGATTGACGTGTCTGTGTGTGTCACCTGAAAGTATGGAAACAGTATACTGTGTGGTTCCAAGCTGATGGCATTATCTATATTTCAACCTGAGCTCATGCACCCATACCAGCACAACTTTCTGACTCTTGCAGAGTTGCTGAAGGGATTTCCAGGCTCCTGTTTTCTTACTGGATGTGTACTCCTGAATCATGTCTGTGTTGGATCCTCCTGCTACCTATAAGCTCAATCTTCCTCTGGCTGATATCTTCGGGGAGTTCAGCTGAAGGGAAGAGAGCCATGGTTTCCTGCTGAGTAAATCAATCCCTTTCTGCCAGTGTCCTTGGTATAACAGAGTGTCAGCCATTCTGGGTGTGTATCAAGCCATCATTATCCCTGTGGTGTTACTCTCTTCAGGTATGTGACAAAGGTCGCTATGGGGAACATCTCCATTATTACCTGCTAGAGTGTAAGGGCACAGTTATTATTAGGGGCCAGTTATCACCTCTCCCCATGTAGGCCAAGGTCTCTTTCTGTTGCTTGAATTCCCCTTTCCTTTCTGCTGCCCTGGCAGGTGTGGAGCACGAGGGACAGATGGAGGAGAGGGTGCTCCTGCCATCTTCCCAAAAAGGTTCTAGGAGCCTTTTCAGAGTGGGAAGGGCACCACTGGCCCTGAGTCTACGCTCCTTAGCATGGAATTGAGACCTTGCTCTAGAGCACCTTTCTTGGCATTATCGTTACTGAAGGTGGCCGTTCATATCTTGGGCACAATGGATACACCTTACTTTTGATACTGAAGTGAAATACTGATGGAGATAGAGCTCTTCCCTCTGAACGCTTCACTGCCCAAAGTTTTGTAGATGTTGTTTCCTCTATCTTGATGCTTTCGCTTTTGTTCCCATCCCTCCCTCCCTCCCTCCCTTCCTTCCTTCCTTCCTTTCTTCCTCCTTCTTTCCTGCCTTCTTTACTCTTTTTCCCATCCTCCTTCTCTCCTTTCTTTTTTCTCTCTCCCCTCCTCTTCACTCTTTCCTTCCTCCCCTTCTTCCCTCTTCTCCTTCTCTCTGTCTCCTTTGCCTTGCCCATGTCCTCTCTCTGTGGCAGCAACCTTATCACTAAATATTAATCAGACAGGGGTGGGGGAGGGGAAGGAGGAGTGCAGGAGGAAAGGACCCCTTCGCATGCGGCAATCTATCAGATTGCACGGGAGGGGGGCTTAATGTGCAGTTGATGTCTTTTCATGGTCTCTAAACTACAAATTTTAAGATTATTTGAAAACATCTTATTGAATTTTCATGCTTTTTAATAGAAAAATTAAAAGAATAATAATCTTTTATGGGCAGTTATAAATGTGCTGTTTATGTACTACAAGTCAGAAATCTTTCCCTTAGTTGAGCAATCTTGTGTGGGTTTAGGGTGGATCCCACAGGCATACTGATGAGGCAGGCAGGGTGTATGTGGAGATGTCTCACTTCACTCTTCTGGATCATGAGTATGGAATGATTCTCAGGTTCATGTAGCTGGCTCCCAGCAGCTCCTTCACATCTTGGGGGGAGGAGTGTGTGTGGTACTGGGCCATCTTTACATTCTCAAAGGAAGTGTTTGTTGAGTGAAGAATGGAGGCAGGGTTCTCCATATTTTGGCTCCAGTCATCCAAGGTAAGGCCTATAAACATTTCCTCTGTCCTTTCCACATCTTCATGAGAGATTTTGCAGACACAGTTGAACTCCTCAGCTGGCCAAGGACTCACCCAGAAACTAGAATGTTTGCCTGCTGGCTATCGCCTTTGGTAAAAATCATTATTTGCGTATTGCTCGATTGAGAACCCTAGACCTAGAGGAAATTACAGACCCGAAGTTCAACGTTCTCACTTTGTAGATGAGGAAACAAAGCCCACTCGAGGAAGTCCCCTGATGAATGACAAAGCCAAGACTGGACTCCAGCCTTGGCTCCAGAGCTCACTTCTAAATTAGGTCACAATCCATGTTGTAAGGCCACGCTGATCATCTCCTGGTGAACGCTGACACCGCTTCCCCAGCCCCTCAGTTTCTAGGATTGCTGTGTATGGCAGAAATCCTAGAATCCTTCTTTTCTCTTCCTCCGTTGGGTTTGGACCTCTTCTCTCTTTCCTGTTTAATAAGTCTAGTTTGAAGCATTCAGAAAATATCAGGGAAGTTGGACAGCATCCTGGAGAATGAAGAAAGATGTCACCTTGCCTCCTCCAGAAGATCCTGGACCCAGCAACACGGAGAGGGAGACCCCGTCCAGCTGAGGACTTCTGAAAGAACACAGGCTGGATCCAAAGTATCTGGTGGGTGCTATTTCAATCACATAATTGGCAAAGGCCCAACTCTGGACAGCTGACACAGTGGAGTTAGTCAGCCAGCAGAATCCTCCAGCTCATTACTAGTTCATGGCATAACGAAGACCACATCATCATAATTATTATTGCCTTAGATGACAAAGACACCCTGGGGACTTCTGGCTGAAATGAGCTGCTTCTTGGCCAACCCTGACTCTCCGGAGTGACTTTCTTACAGAACTAAAGGATCATGAAGTTGAAAGGGGCCCACAGAGATCATCTGTTCTGGCTTCCCAGCTTTCGACAAGACTAGCTTTTACAGGGTAGCTGCTACAGAGGGAAAAAAAATAATGGAACCAAACTTACTTTTATATGTTATTCTTGTGATAGTATCTCTGTTGAGCATTCGATTAAGAAATGGGTTTGATGAATCAGAAACCTAGAGGGGAGAGAAAGAAAGTCTTAATAATGGGGCAGTGCTCTTCTAGAATAAACATCGTCGTGCATTCATGGGCTCATTCATATTGACTGAGCATCTTAGCTGGTGCTAGGGGTCAGAGACAAAGACCCAACTCTGAAGGACCTCTCAGTCTAAAGGAAGTTGGCAAACATGTGTGGGGACTGTTAGGCTAGAGTCACAAGTGAGATGATGTTAGAGGAAGACTACCTACTACCTGATGAGTTTAGGGAGCTTGTTTTAAGAACACCTAAGTTGTTCTGGAGGCCTGGGTAGAGTTATCAAAGTGATCTGGTGGTAGACCATGCAGAAGGAAGAAAGGCAAGGAATGCAGAGAACCCGACATGGATACAGGGGACTTAGAAGCAGGCCTTCTCGTGCAAGTATTTCAGAGTAGTTGCAGCTGAGAGTGTGGATGAAGGATAGTTTGTGAGGGTAGAGTTAGGCAGGCAGAGGCAAACTCCTATCGGTCTTGAATGTCATGTTATGATATTTAAATGTTATTCTGTAGGAATGGGGGAAACAGCAAAGGTTTTTGAGCAAGGGGTGGAGAAAGGATTACGTGGAGAGAAAGAAGTATCCAGAACAGAGATACCAGGAGATAGGAAAATCACTCTGAGATAAAAAAAAAAGTGGGCACCAGTGGCTCACACGTATAATCCTAGCTACATAGGAGGCTGAGATCTGAGGGTTGTGGTTCAAAGCCAACCTGGGAAACAAAGTCCGTAAGACTCTTATCTGCACTAAACTACCAAAAAAAAGCCAGAAATGATGCTGTGGCTCAAGTGGTAGAGCAGTATCCTTGAGCAGAAAGGCTCAGAGACAGTGCTTAGATCCTCAGTTATATCCCCAGGGCTGGCACATTAAAAACAAAAAAAAGGAAATGTAGCTATGGCTCAAGTGATAGTGTGCCAGCTTTGGGTGAAAAGCTAAGGAGAAGAACTCAGGCTCTGAGTTTAAGCCCCAGTACTAGCATAAACATACAAAAATAGTACATAACCTTGTACTACCACTGCTCATTATTATGGAATGGAATACATCCTAAGTCATATCATCCATCCATCCATTCACCAACTCATCCAATAAATATTTGTTGAATGCCTATTATAGGCCAAAATGTTGTACAAGATGTTTGGGTATGAGTTCCCATTTTAGGCTTATGCATAGAAATCTCCAAATTTTTCTCTTAGGAGAAGAAGCTAAGTTGGTAAGAGGTTTAGATCCAGGGAACTGCTATGGGTTATACCACAATGTGGTCCCACATACTGTGTACGGTTGTCTGAAGAATTCCTCTCTTACTTAGACTTTCCTGAGCCTCACTATTTATCCTAGTCACTTCCCTCCCACCTTGCTAGCTCAGCTCAGCTCAGCTCTGCAATTTACGCCCCAGCTGCTAATCGGATGTTGTGACACATCCACATTTTCAATCTGATTTATTCTGAGGGTTGGGAAAAAATTGCAGCAGATGATTATTACTGTTAGATAAGCAACAGGTAATTTTAGTTTGGAGAAAGCATGAGCTGTTTATTTTCCCTCCATCTGTCTTACTTTTTCACAGAGTTTCCTGAGTGTGTTGCAAGCCACACAATCGAGGAGAGTTCGGGGTGCCGCAGTACTCAATGGAAGTAAAAATGCACTCCAAACCCAATACGCTTTCATTTCCTGGAAACTTCCACTGTGGCAAGCTTGTTAGCATTTAAAAGATAGCTGCTCAGATGCTGACCTCTGAGAGGACAGGGGGAGGCTTAGTGTCCTGTCAGATGAGGAGCTAGCCAGGTGCCCTGAATACCTGATACTTGGTGAATCTGAGCAGCCCTAGTGATGAGACCCACCCCTTTTGAGCTGATTAAAAATAATTGAATTTTTTTTTCCAAAGTGCACACAGATGATTTGTGGGCACTGGTGTGTTTGGCTGCGTGGGTGAGAGGATAAAATATGTACTTGGTGTAAGTGAGCTTAAGTGGGTAGTTAATGGTGTGTGATTGAGCAGCAATTACAGGCAAATCTCAGTTCCCTGTGGTCGCTGGAAGGATGGGAGATTAGCCGAGGACAGAGAGAAATAAAATGGACAGATAAACAAGACTCTCCTACTTTTAGCCCCTTCAAGTCTTCTGTTGGCTCAAGTAATATCTCTCAGGCTGAACTTCTTGTTTTGGGTGGGACAGTTTACAGGGAGCTAGGAGAGGGAGGCAGGAAGATCATTTCTGGAGAGGGTGGGCTTGTGGTCCCTGCTCAATTGGAATTTGGACGTGAGCGAATGACAAGTCACAGCTTGGAGGACTCTCTGTGGACCTGATTTTCTGTGGAGTTGATTGGATGGAACAAAGAGTGAAATGCTGTGGTTTATTTTGAGATCCAGGCTTTAGGTTTGCTCAGGGAAAGAACTAACGTATCCTCAGTGGCCAACGTGGCCTGAGAAGATGCAGGAACTGCTCACTGCCCCTATACCAGCCTCAGGCTCTGGGATACCAGTTCTTGCCAACAACCCTGCAGAGATGCAACCTGGACCCACAAGGCTGACTTTGCTGACAACCTTGATGGAGCAAGGGTTTCAGTAAGATTTGGTGAAACATGCCAGCCAGGAGTTTGCTGTGGAGGAAGTTGGCTGCCCGGTGGCCTATCAGGCACTCAGTCTCCTGGAATGTTCCAGAGTTTCCTGGATGACACTTGCAGATGCAGGAAGTTTTTTTTTTTTTTTTTTTTTAGCAAAGTGAGGGACAGTCAGGGGCTGAGCCTAAGCCACACCCTAGGAATTTTTGGGGCCAGGCAGATTGGCCTGATAGAAGGAACTCAGGGAATGTTGGCATTGGGGTAGCCATGGTGGGAGGTGACTCTTGGACACATTTGAACATATGTAACAGGTCTCAGGCTTTGCACCAATGAGCATGAGGCAGGCTGACAGCACTGGTTACTAACTTCATCACTGAAGTTTCATACTCCAAACCTTGGTCAGGTCAGTGGGGAATGTTTTGATGTGTTGTTTTCTTTCTTCTTGCCCTCAGGTGTTCCTTCCAGCTCTTGAGTAGGTATATAGTGGGAATAAAGTCATGGGTATTAAAATCAGGCAGGACTTGGGTCTGTTCGTGGGCTGTGTGACCTCTTTCTTACAGGGAAGTTAGGAGAAGGAGGCAGGAGGACTTGGTAGGGCCAAAGGCCAGTTATACAGGGTGTTCTTTGGGACCCAGGGGGCCATTCTCTGTTAAAACTCATTGATGGTAAAGAGCTAGGGATATAGCTCAGTTGATAGAACACTTGCTTAATTTGCATGAAGCCCTAAGCTTCATCTCCAGCACCACAAGGAAGCAAAATGAGCACAAGGAAAAACAGTTTGATGGTGAATGCTGGGTTCCTATTGGTCTTTCTTACTCGATTCTAAGCCCTGGTTGGGATCTACAGGGATCTAAAACCCCAAGGGCTTGCTTGTCCAGTGATTCTCCACTGGAAAACTTCTACACATTGCTTTTTGTCTTTTGTAACCTCTCCCTCCCCTGCCTCTCCAATTAGAAAGGCAATCTCTCTCTCTTTTTAATTGAAGAACTTGTTTATGTGCTTCACTTGACATCTGCCAGAACACTCAAGGTAATTTTTGCTGGCTGGAAATCTTTGTTATTATTGTCACCTGGTAGGGAGCCTAGGAGGTCCCCAAGTCAGTATGGGTGACTGTGTCTTTTTTCCCTACAGTGCTTGTAAGAAGACCTAAAAGTGAGTCGGGAAGTGTGACGCAATGGGGTGGGGAGCAGGTGTGGGAACGGTGGAGGAGTTGCTTAGTGTCCCACCTGCAGCATGGCGGTGGAGATGCGTGGAGGCCCTTCCACTGAAGGACAGGCCTCACTAGACCGCATCGGTGGGCCACCCGGATCCCAATGTGACTGCACCCCTTTGATTCTAGTGCACACCATTGGACTTGAACTCCACCCCTGTGCTCAGCTTCAATGTCTCTCTGGGACAAAAAAGTTGCCTGAACTCTGGACCCTGAAGCCCTGATGCTCTTAGATGGAGCCCATCATTTCACATTCTGACATTTTTGTAGGGGATTGGACCTCCCATGACTTTCACAGACATAAAAGTTAGGTGCTGCTACAGCATTCTTAGCATGGACATGAACCAGTATCTCAACACTTTAAATTTTTTTTTAAATTTTGGTACTGGAAGTAGGGCTTGCACTTAGGGCCTTATGCTCTTGCTTGGTGCTCTACCACTTGAGCCACATCTTTACGCATGGCTTTTCGTTGGTTATTTGGAGTATCAGGATTCATTTGTCTGGGTTGGCTTTGAGCTGTGATTCTCAGATCTCAGCCTCCTGAGTAGGGAGGATTACAGGCGTGAGCCACTGACACTTGGTTCTTTTTTGTCGTTTTTTTTTTTTTAAAGCCCATCAGAGACTGTAAATTGATATTCTGATTGAGACTGGAGTGGCCAGAAGAGAAGAAAGGAGAAGCGAAAGACTTACTTTTATAAATATAGAAACTACCACCAATCCATTCGGACTCTTCGCAGCTTCTGTGACATTGGTGTATAACTCATGGTTATAGTGGATGAGCTGTACCTGTCAGGAAGGAAGAACGAGAAATGAGAATGGCCTCCAGCATGCACAGCTCTGGAACACAGCACACACCCTTCCACGAGGATGAACTGCAAAGCAAATGGAAGAGCAGGGAGAAAGTCAAGGGATTTCAGAAGGGTTTGCAGGCATCTATGCAAAGCAAAATGTGCATTCTCTCTCTGTCTCTCTCTCTCTGTCTCTGTCTCTGTCTGTCTCACTGTCTCTGTCTCTGTCTCTCTCTCTCTCACACACACACACGTGTGAGCACAAAAATACCCATACATATTTACAAATGTTTTCTGGTAACAAGCCTGCTTTTAATAAGCTCAGCGTCCATCTGGTTCTGGCTTCCTCCCAGGACATTTCCTCTAAAGTGTGTGTAGAGTGAATTTTCCTTATTAGGAATGGAACAGCCCTGCAGGGGTGGATGTGCTCTCCTGGCTGTACCAACAGCTACTGCTGGCAGCTGCAGTCAATCTTCCTGACAGTCCTTGTGTGGGTTTAGATCTGAGAGTGGTTAGATCCTCGGCTAGGCAGGTCTGGGAGGAGGTTGTGGTGGTTCTCATGCTGGGAAGGGGCTGGCAGCTTGCTCAGTCTCCTCATAAGTTAGCCTACCTACCTGGCTCTGCAGACCACCACCACCACCACCACCACCACCACCTCCTCCTCCTCCCCCTCTTCCTCCTCCTCCTCCTCCGACTATTGATCTGTTTCCTAAGATGCTGGTGTCACAGACAGTGAGGGACCAAAGGAGTCCTAGATTCTGACTCCGATGGTTATGGTTTTCCCCTTGTTATGCCCCCTCTTTTTTGCCAGACCTGGGGCTTGAACTCAGGGCTTGAGCTCTGTCCCTGAGCCTCTCTATGCTCAAGAGTGCTCTACCACTTGAGCCACAGAACCACTTTTGTTTTTTCTGTTTATGTGATACTGAGGAATTGAACCCAGGGCTTCATGCATGCTAGGCAAGCACTCTACCACTGAGCCACATTCCCAGCTCCGTTACTAATTTTTGAAAGAGTCCTTTTGTAAATTGTAAAATGAAATATATATGTTCAAATTGAGTCACCATCAGTGTTTAGGCATATCACCGAGCTCAGTTGCTTCCTCTGAAAAATAGGTATATAGTTCAGAGTTGTGGCTTAAAAATAGTTCCTTTCATTTTTAAAAATTTTAATTTTTATTGTCAAGTGTTGTACAGAGGGATTACAGTTATGTTAAGTAAGGTAGTGAGTATATTTCATGTCCAACTTGTTACCCCTTCCCTCGTTTTTCTCCCTCTCCCCCCCAATGTACCCCCAGGTTGTACAGATCATTTCCAACATATTGTCTTGTGAGTATCTCTGCTGCATTGGTTCCCCTTTGTCCTTTGTCTCACCATTTTGTTGTTCCCCTTCCCTTCCCTAATTCAGATAAACGTATATACGATATCAGGATACCAAAATAAAATACAGTTCCTTTCTCCTCTCCTCTCCCCTCCCCTCCTCTCTTTTCCTCTCCTCTCCTCTCCTCTGCTCTTCTCCCTTCCCCCCTTTTTTTTCTTTTCCATTCCTTTCCCTTCTCTTCCCTTCCTCTATGACCTGAAGTCACTGTGTAATCCAGGCTTGCTATCCCGCGGCCTCTGTCCCCTGAGTGATGAGACTACAGGTGTATATCAACTGGTCATACATAATTGTTTTTTTGGTGTAGGTCCTGAGGCTTGAACTTAGGGCCTGGGAGCTGTCTCTGAGCTTTATTTTTTTTTGTTTGAGGCTAGTGCTCTACCACTTTGAACCACAGCTTCACTTTTGGCTTTTTGGTGGTTAATTGGAGATAGGAGTCTTATGTACTTTCCTGTCCAGGTTGACTTTGAATTGTGATCCTTAGATTTCAGCCTCCTGAGTAGCTAGGACTACAGGCATGAGCCACTGGCATCCAGCTATCTTTTTCAGTTAATTCTCCTTATTCTTAATTCACACTAATAACTTCCTCTGCATGAACACTCTCTAACATACTTAACTGTATCTCTGGCTTTCACTTTTTTTTCCTTTTTCTTTTCTTTCTTCTCTCTTGCAAACAATGTTACAGCAAGTGTATCATATATCTTTCTGTAATGGTGTTAGTACTTTCCAAAGGCTGATTTGAGAATCTAATAAGGTGGTGCATGTAAAAGTGATTTGTGATTCTCGAGGAATAAGAGAGGATTCATCATTGCCTGCATTGCATTAAAAAGGAAGTCAGAGTTTTAGAAGTACAGAAAGGATTTGTTTTTGCTTGAACTTGAGCCAGAAACCACCGTCTCACACAGTGGTCTGCACCTCCGCTGGCCATTCAGATCGCCAGGATGCTTTTAAAGCTCACCTCCACCAGCTTATTCCTTTCCATCTCTGTTCTAATTGATTTTGGGGTGCAACTTGGGCACTGCATTCGTTAAGAGCTCTCCAGCTAGAGAGTTAATGGCTGGAGTTGAGACCAAGTGGAGCATAAGCAATGGGCCCAATCAGTGTGCACTCAGGGAGATGGTACCTTGAACCTGGAGGCTTCCCTGAGCATCCTACATCCTGCAGCATCTCACAGAGGAGGCATGCTGTTTGCTGGTCTTGATGTGTCCCTGTTGCTTATTGTGTGTGTGTGTGTGTGTGTGTGTGTGTGTGTGTGTGTGTGTGTTTTACTTCTGACATGCTTTGCCAATGGAGACAAATGGTTCCACTGTAGCTGCTCTGCCCTGAGAAGGACAGCCACAGAGGCAGGGGTGGATAAAAAGTGTTGCCTGTGCAGGAACTCTAGCTGGCTCTTGTGTACTCATCCTCATCCTGGTTCCCCATGCGGCCAGGACTTCCCACAGGCAGCACAGCACGGCCCTGGGAAGGAGGCAGGTGTAGTGGCTTCTCACCCCTTCCATGTACTTTCTTTCCAGCGCTCAGAAAGCTTTCTGCTGAGGAGACACATGCTGCTCTCTGCTGGGTCCTCCTATCTGACCCAGGGGACCTGCAAAAGCCAGCTGGGGACAAGCCAGGGCTTTGGAGACATGCCTTGTCATTACAGCACGCTTTCCCTGCATACTTGAGCAGGAAGTGGGAGGCAATGCATAGAACAATTCTCCCTTCCAACTCAAAATACCCAAAAAAAACAAGGAGAAGTTCCTGGACTAGGAGCTGCATATGGGGTGGGACTGTATCAGCTCGAAGGCTAAATGGGGGGCTGGTGCATTGAGGGTGAGGTCATGATTTTGCTGTTACTTGGGTTTGAACCCAAGGCCTTGTGCAGTGAGCACTCTATCACTTAAACCATACTTCTAGCCTTTTTTACTTTAGGTTATTTTTCAGATGGTAACCTACGCTTCCCCCTCCTCCCTCCTGCCCTCCTCCGTCCCCTAGGGCTAGCCTCAGACTGAGATTCTCCTACCGATACCTCCTGTATAGCGGGGATTGAAGATCCCAGATGCACAGACTGTACTGATTTGTTTGTTGAGATTGGGGGTGGGGGTCTGGATAACTTTTTACCTGGGCTGTCCCCCAACAATGATCCTCTAATCCCTGCCTCCTGAGTAGCTAGGATTTTAGGTGTACCTCACCATGTTCAGCCTCTTAGAGCCCTTTAAACCTTTTTGTAAAAACAACAACATATAGTTAACTCACATATGTTTGATTCCAGCCCACACTTAGGTTCCAAGTGCCCTATGGATGCCAAACCCCTTCTTCTACATTATATATCATTGAAGAGTTCCCCTGATCCCACCCCAGCCCTATTTGCTCCTGAAACAAAGGATGAAATGAAGGCCCAGAGAGGTTAAACGACTCTTCTGAGATCATCCAGCCAAACAGTGACAGGTTTGTTCACTTCACAGTGATACCAGCTCATTTCAGTTTTCTCCAAGAAAGAAAAGAGAAAACGAAGATGTCTTGTATTGGTTGGGGGTGGGGGTGGGGATTGTGCAGGGGGAGGTCACATTTTAGCAGTTTTTTTTTTGTGTGCCGGAACAATGATAAGCTAGAGTTTATTTATAGAAAGTCATTAGTGAGTTTGTCTTGATGTGTAAGAGCACACACAGTCTACAGAGCAGGGCCCCGTGTGATATATACCAACAGCCACAGTCTCATCCCGGGGCTTGGCAATTATCACCAGCTCTGCCTGGTGACGCTGACTTCTTGACTCTTTAAGATGTGCGTGCTCTTGGAGCCCCAAAAGAGAACCAAGTTCTCATCATTGCGTTGACAGGAGGACACCTTCCTCCCCCCCCAAAGCAGTCCAGCTAACGCTGCGACCTAGAAAATCAGAGTGAAGGCATTTCTCTCCCAGAAGAGAACAAAATTGGATTTTCCAAGCAGGTGATTTTGTTGTGAGAGTCTGCGGATTGCACAACGTAACATGTTTGGGTACAGGTGATGCAAGGCTCGTGTTTCCTTGGATTTTTGTGTCTCAGCCTGCTCTGTGCCTCAGTTTCTTCATTTAAAACAGGAGACGGTCCGTTGTTCAGTCATCTCAAGAGACGGTCAGGCTATTACTATTAGTTTCTGGTATGGCTGGAGTTTGAATTTATGCTTTCTAGGCAAGCAGTCTATGCCAAGAGCTGCACACCGGCCCTTTTGCTTTTTTTTCCCCCCAAGTAAAGTCTCCTGCTTTTTGCATGAGGCTAGACTTGAAACAAGATCCTGATACCTCTGCTTTTTGACTAGCTGAAATTGCAGGTATGAAACACTAGGCCCAGCTTTGTGGGTTTTTGTGTTTTTTGGTGTTTTTTTTTAAACTGACTTTTGCCTTTATTGACCTCGAAGTGTGATCCTCCCATTTTCATGTCTCACATAGCTGGGATTATAGATGTGCTCCATTCTGGTAGGATCGTGTCTGGTACTCTTTTTTCTTTTTCTGTCAAATAGTTATTAAATAGGTATTCCAGAACTGATGAAGACTCTTGTTTTAATGAATGGAGACACATAATATTATATGGTTCGTTTTCCTACTGCTTTTCCCAGGAAGATTTGTACCCACAAAAATGTTGAAGGCAAATCATTTAAATAAGGATACAG